GAGACGGGGGGGGTGTTTGCTCAGAGCAGTCCTCTCTTTTACCTCTTATCTGCCCGTTTGAGTTCAAACTGAAACAAATGGCAGGAAAAGAAAGGGCTTTGTTGCTGTAGCGACAAGTGGCAGGTTTGTTTTACAGCTCTGCCAGTTAAAACAGATCAGTAAAGTAAAATCATAGAGGATCTGGGAGGAGAGAAAAAGACCTGGAACATCAGTCAAACCTCTGACATTTACAGTCAATTGAAAGCCATTTTCAAATCGTACACCAGAACCACCAGAAGGCTAAGTTCAAGTTTTGGGTTTCTGCTTGTTTTCTGTTTTTCAGAGATTACAAGAAAACATTTCATGTTCATCAATCATATTGAAACTTTTATTTGATTTCTTTTAAATATCTGCTAATCTATTAAGTGTAGTTACTCTTAAGATCTTTTGGTTGAAAGTTTGTGTTAAACTGCTCTTGTAAGGAAAGTTGTAAAAACAATTACTATTACTATTGTGGACTACAAGCTTGACCACAACAGAAAATATGTTGGAAAAACAAAACATGATTCATACCGAAAGAGGCTTAACACCTCAGCCCTCCTATACCGGATCTATTACCCCGACATGCATCGTCCTTTCATTCATACAACAGCCCTGCAAGGCTCAGGTTTTCTAATGAACAGAACCGGCCTAAATTCTTAGCAGTAGCAGCTTTAATGGGAAAACACACTTACACCCCTGTTTACTTCACTGCACGTGGAAAATGAGCTTTTAAACATCAGGCAGCAGAGAAGCAAAGTGACAGCAGTGTTAAGGAATCAGCAGTCCTGACTCGATAGTAATCAATAGCAATTGTTCAACTATTAGAAGCCCATTACAGGGAAGTGTGTTCTGCTGCCTGAAAGCGGGACAGGAATGAGAACACATAGTTCTCGGCGTGCTCTCGTGAGTGCAAGTGGAGAAGACATGTGGCTGTTAGGCTGCTGACTTTAATTTTCATTGATTCGCCACCTCTCTCCCCAAACTGATTCCCGGAAGCAAATGCTCACCTGCATGCAATGCTGCAAACAAACCAGCTCTGAAGGACATGCAGGCTCCTTCAGATGTACAGCCAATCAAATGTTAGTCCAGAAGAAGAGAAACAAAGACCAGCAATGAAAAAAACACAAACATGAAGACATTTACCCAGATTATCAGATAAATACCTTAAACACAGACATAATACATTAGAGCTTCTACTCTGACGAGGATCGGCTGACTGGAGCTGGAAAATCACACCGAACAACAATCCTTTTCTAAATAATTTTGTTTCCATGAGAACAACGTCTTCTTTTTTACCTCACATATGAAATAAGCATAGTATTACCTACTGAGAGACTCTGACTGCAGTTTGACGTCTGATACAGAGAAATGCTTACTGATGCCTGAAACTGTTGAAAGAATGTAGGAGTTTCAGCTCCATCAACTCGACACGTTGTCCAGCAAAATGAAGCCACATATGTGGGCGGCTGAGTATTTTATTTTCACATCAATTTGTTTTTTTTAAGAGTGCAACAAATATTCTTAAATTATGTGTTCATCAGATTAAAGCCTCTAAAATATTGACAAAACCGATGAATTTATACATTTGAGACAAAAAAAAAAGAATGACCTTCCCATAAGGTCGTTAATATAAATACAAATTTGTTGTTAATAACTCACATGGTCAAATAAAGGGTGAATAAATAAATAAAAGTCCCCCAATTGAAAAAATGGCCAATGACATTGTGCTTTAATTATGTTCCCTTATTTATTTCTGGTTATTTTTGCTTCAGATGTAATTGGAAAAACTCAAAACGCATGTCTTGCTTAGAAATAGTGTGGAATAAAATAATACTTTCAAACACTTTTCTGCTCTTACTGGTAGTATTATAAGACACTTAAACAAATTGATGGAAGAGCACTACCGTAAGTGGGGACCTTTTTAAGGACACTCTGAACCGCTTGAGCTAAGTTTAACTGTAAAATACTAAAGAATGAAAACTTGAAGGAAAATGAGAGCAAAAAGCAACCAATGCTGAGAGTGAATATGTGAGGACTTTGTAAAACCTGGAAATCCTGATCCTCATTGCTCAAGAGATCAAAACATAAAACTCATTTTAGGAAAATACAAGAAAGCTTTGATGTTTAGAAGTAAAATATTAAGGAATGCAAGATAATTTTAGTCATTTGCACAGTTTGCTAAGGTTATATTCACACTTCACTCTCACTTACTCTTCTTAAATTACCGTTGGGATGTGAGAGGCTGCAGAGTTGTATCAAAGTGCTTTTTTTTTCTCAAAACTTTAAAAGTATATTTTCTGTTTTTGGAGCTGAAAGTCCAGAAAAAAAATTACTGCACTGTAAACAAATTTTTGGTTGGTCACTTAAGAGAAAACGTTGCTCCAAAACACCTTTTGCATTCAAAAATGACAGTATCTTCACAGATGTTGAAGATGTTCATGTCATTTATACTAATGCACTTCTGTCGCATTATGGATGATGGGCTGTGAGCTGTATGCTTCTGAAAAGATTAATGGTTCTGCTCAACTTTAGCTTGGAGCAAAGAGAGGCTATCATTTCTGAAATTAAGGCCTACTGGTCCAACCAGAGGATGCCTCTGACGTAAATGAGCACAGGCTCTGTTAAGAAGACGACATTGCTGGATTTGAACTGAGAAACACACTTTTACTTGTCAGGTTCTCAGGGATGGGCAAATAACTTTTTAAGAGGATTGTGGAAAAGTTATGCAATTTTTAAAGCCTAGATTACCTTTGACAGAGAATCAGTAGGGACAAGACAAAACAATTTTACAAATTAGTCAATTAGTTATTTTCTATTCCAGTCATGTTTGAAGATGTGCATTTGTTTATAAAAGAACACAATTAAAACTCTGCTCCTCCATTAACAAAATGTTTGACAGCAAGAAAAAAAAAGTCCTGATACAAGCATCAGACATAGAGTTTGCATTTCTCCTTTTAGCCTTTCTAACCACCAAATGACATGCATGCTAACTTATGTGCACAGTTTAATTTGGTACAAGACTGCAAGACTTTAAGTCACACAACTGCATAAAAAATCATAAAGCTATGTATATTTTTAGTTATTTTGTTGTCAGAACTTTTTATCCGTTTTCAAATGTACATGACCTCGTTCCAAAATTGCAGACCCATGCAGACAACGCACATGAATTGTTTTTTGTTTTTTTTCCTTTGGGGTCAGAAGAGTTATGCGTTTGCATGGAACTGAATTGGACAGTGACTTTGTTTCATCATTGCAGACAAAAAACTAATCAGAATTTTTTTTCTTTTGGCCCCAAATGCAAAGGCAAGGATTTTGTTTAAAAGTAGGACCAATGCACTTCTGATTAAAATAAGTGTGATACTTTTAAACTTTGTAGACTTTTGAGATCTACAAGCTGATGGAGTGCCCTGCTATAAAAACGATTCGAAAACTGATGTACAAAGTAGTAAAAGTGTTGACGGGGAAAGAAGAAAATTCACATTGCATCAAATCCTTGTTCTAATACACAATAATCAAACACCTTTGGCATTTCCATAATTAACAAAACTTTAAAAGATCATTCAAAACTTAGAACTTTTACATTTCAGCTGCCTTAGATTAGAGTTAGATTAGGGAATCCTGCATATTACAGATTCATGACTGGGGATCATCAGTGGTTCCTGAATCTGATTTTGAACCAGTCAAAAAGTTGGTCTGAAAAAAATTGTATCAAAAATTATTTATTTTACACAGACCACAACTTAGTTCTCTTTTAATCCTCGTCTCTCAAATGCATCTCATTTATTTTTTCCTTTAAGTCCATCCTTTGATCAATTTGCCAGATCTGTGATGCCAAGATGAAAATACAAGCAGGGCTCTTCCAAGTGCTCTGGACTTGTGGGATCACCTGGAAGTAATTAGTCACAAAGGGGCTTGCTGATGTCGCTCAATACTTCTGCCTCACCCATTTAGCTAAAACAGTCAATCAGCTAAAAACTCTCCTCAATGAGGGATGAAAGGATGCTTTTATTTTACAATCAAACCAACAACCTTCTGAGAACACATCGGTTTCTTTTCCTTAAGAGCGTTTCAGCTAAAGTGAAGAGAGGGTTGTTGAAAGGAGGCGCAGATCTTAAAAGCTTTAAGACTTCAACACTTTGAGGTGTTCATCAAAGACAATCAGCTTTGTTTGCTGAGTAAAACAAAATACTGACTGTTTTTGCTCCAATTTGGTTTAAATAAACCTAATGAAAAAAAAAACATTCAACAACAGGAATAAAGAGAAAACTGCCTCTGAAGTAGTAAGAGAAAGTAAGCGTAATTCAGTGTTCTTGATAAAAATGCAGAACGCTCGAGAGGAGTCACTGAACATGATTGAGCCTTTAGCAAGGCACCGTACTTCAAGAAAAAACTTCTCCATCAAAATATGAAACTATTCCACTGAGACTAGAGAGTGGAATAAGACTGTGACATCAGACTGTGACGTTGTGGATTACTTATTAAAAACTGGTTATAAATGTCTTGTAAGCAGCTCCCAGTGACTGTTAACTTATTTTATGAACAGAAAAAAAGTATTCTTAATCGTTTAAATAATAAAATTGTCATTTTAAGATTCAAAAGATGGCTTTCAGATAGGAGTGCACCGACTGCAGTTTTCTGGCCAATCGCAGTTTTTTTTTTTTTTTGTCTGAAATGTTGCGAAATATATCAAGAAAGTCATTGAGTTGGTAATAGTGAGGTAAATATTGTTAATTGCAAATAAATAAACATAACCTGGTTGGCCAGTATATCAGTCAAACATCTCTCAAAGAAGAGGACAGTTGTTGATTTTTAGGCCTTTGTTGAGGTAGAGAAGAGTGGGGGACAAGATCAGGTTCATATGTAAGTATTGGCCTTTCACCAATCCCAAAATTGAGAGAATCGTCGCTGATAAACAAATCGGTGCACCCCTAGAGATGAAATGCTGGTGAAAATTAAAAATAAAATAACATAGTTCCTACATGTGATGATGACCAGAAGGGTGCGAAGCAGAAGATCGACTGGCTTCTCCCATCTCTCCGACACTCGGGCCAAAACCTGCGGGATGAGGATTTCTGCAGGAACGTAGAACTGCAGGGCGAAAGTGATGAATATGCCGGAACAATACAGGAGTTTTACTGCCTGGTACGTCCTGCAAGCAGACAGAAAATCAGCACAAATATTACCACAAAATATCAATTTTCTTAAAAATAATGACATACAACATGAAAGTTATAAACTTTATGATGTGTAGTTTTTATAAACATCCCTTGGTCTCTTCTTTCCATTTGAGACAGATGCTGCTAATTACAATCTTTGAGTTCTCAACCTCATTGAACAGCCAATCTATTCCACTAAAACGCAACATCAGTCCAGTCACAAAAGCCACTTCAATGGGCGTCGCTCTCCTGCAGCTGTGATGATAGCAACAAGTAATGAGTAAACAAATTCTGTCTGAGACTTCGGTTCCACTTTTGTTACTGCGGGCGCGCTTCCATCAGAGGAAACCAGACTAATGGCCAGAAAAATGACACCTTTGTTTCTGAAATGCTGATTATCCAGCTAACTTTATATATAATTACCGAGGGCTTCTCATTAGCTTTTACGTCGGTCTGTGCTGAACTTTGGGGAAAGTAAAAGTTTCAAGTAAAACTTTTTTTATACCACAGAAAAATCTTCAATGTTACTATTAGAGCCAGGATAATTTACTCCCCTGCCAGGGTAGAAGGACTTTACAGGCATCTCTGATCAAAGATCTGTCAAAAGTTAAAATTACACCATGTTGTCCAAACTGTTGACATATTTCCACCTGCTTAATTATTTTATCTAGGCATGTCACTTGCTCAGGGTTAAACAAGGTCAGCATTCCCACAGTAAAGACCTACAAAGAAATTTGTGTTATATTAATACAAAATGTTTCCTCTTTTAAACTAAAATATTTTATATCATATTAGACTCTGTTAAAAACTGTGGATTGGACCTTTTATTGCAGATGAAAGGAAAAGAGCAACAAACTCTTTAAATTGTCTAAACTTCTTGTTATCTTACCAACAGTTTGGCAGGTTTAAAGTTATGCTGCCGCCAATGTGCTCTCCAAAGCACATGTACCCGATGGTGCCGAGGCTGATGTAGAGGAACGTGACGATGCCCATACCCAGATACAAAACCTGGGTGAATTTCTGCGGCCGCTGCATTTTATTTTCCAGAGGGAGGACCTTCCAATGCACAAAGACACAAACAAGGCAGGACAATTAAAACAACGGCTCAGCAGGTGAAAACCCAGTGAACATGTTTTTGGAGTCTGCTTATAATCAGTGACTCAAAATGTCCCTTGTTCTCAGATTGTGATCTCTTGATTTTGGCATCTGGACATTACAGAAAAGCTCAAATTTGCATTGACATTTCAGCAAAAGCCCATGGCTCCATTTCATGGCATTCAACATGTTCAAAAGCATTATATTCATCCCTTCATACTGTGCTGGTGGCAAGTGAAACAAATGAAGGTTTTGTTTTCTTATCCAAAGCTCCCACAGAGACCTATGTGATCAGCAAGCTTTACAAAGAAAAGATACAAACAACATTTGGGCCTGTGATCTTGTCCTCTTTTTCCAGGATCACATCCAATTAAAATTCCAAACAAGGCTTTGGTAGAAGAATCTAACACATGTGGACGCACCACATGCCTGTGTATTTGAACACAACCAGGGTTACTTACAGTCACCGTGAACAAAGAAAGTCCAATATGTTGCAGCTGTCAGTATTTGGGCATCAGGAAATAATGATTTGGCATTAGGTTCTAGGCTTATTTTTGTGGTTGTGGTCGGCGCAAGTAGCAACATTTTTCTGTTGCCATATTAATGGACCATATTGTGTGACGCCAGTAGCCCCAGCTTACCCGTCATTCAATGGACCTACCACTGAAGGAGGTCCGGGAATGGTGTCATACATGCCATTTGTATGGGCCGTTTTTACAGTGGAAATAGACAAACGAGCGTACCAAACAGCACCGACCCATGTCATACTGCTCAGTGGAAACGAGGCATTAATGTCTCACTGCAGACCTTCAACCTGATTAGCATGTATACTTTAACTCATTTGTTTGGGCTCTTGGTCCCAGTGATGCTGTTGGGCCAATCTTCCCTTGGGTAGATCATTTTGTTCTTTTACTCTAGAATATAAGACAATTCAAGGTTAATTTCATGGCTGCCAAATCCTCACCTTTCAATCACAATATCTGACAAATAAGATTTACCATAAATAAAATATCAAATATTTATCTTATCGCCAAGTTTTATTTGACAATAATATTTGTTCTTAGGGTTTTTTGGAATTATAATCAGACATCTTCACTTCAGCCCCATCTGGACAATGGAAATGGTTCCAGAAGTCCTGTTGTTCAGGTAACATCTACCTGAATGAACTTAAAATGTTCCTCACCTCTTTGTAAATGTATTTTAATGACAGTCTGTGCGCAACAAGCAATTTCTTCTTCACAGACTCTTGAAGGCTGGTCATAAATGTGACGCAACAGTTGAAATGTGACAGAAAAGAAATGGTGCTGAACTCAAACGATGACGAAGGAATAACAACCTGGTTTCAAAATGCTACAAAGCATTAAGAAGCGTTTAAAAGTGAACCCTGTGGTTTTAGTTTTTCACATACAAATAAGCATTTTCAATTACTTTACGGACTTCTAGGCATATCATTATTATTTGTAGTTTTATTGGCATAAATCTGAATGATGAATAGTATATTCTGAAACTTTCAATAAGAACCAGCATGACCTTGTTTAGCAGTCTGAGCTACAGTTTTGTTTGAACAGCTGTAAACCAGGAAATCCTAAAAAAGGCTGCAGTTTTAGAAATGTTCTGACCCAGTTACCTTCACATCACAATCTGAACCCCATCATTCTCACTCAAATTAATACATTTGATTATATCTTCCTGCTTTTAACACATAAACTTCAACACGCAATCTCCATTTGCCATTTATAGAAAAAAGCAGCATTAATATGTCACTACTGACAATGTTACTCTGGTTGGTATATTTCTCATCATAAACCAGCACTTTGAAAAACACAAAACAAAACACAATGTTTCCTATTCTTGTGTTGTAAGCAGATGATACTGTAGATAAATAATAGATGTGGTTGCATTAAATAGCTGAAGCAGATACAAATTTGAAGCATTTTTTAATCATTCTTTTACTTTATCATCATGACTTGGTCACTCACCACGCCGATCCCTTCGAAGGCAAAAATGGCCGTCCCAAAAAACAGAGGGTAGTCCTTGGCTCTGCCGACCTTTGGTAGATCAATAGGAAACGTGATGTTCTGTAAGGGTACAAAGAAAAAAGAAAAGAAATATTAACGGTTTACTTCAGGCATGCCTGGACATTTGATATCATCTTTAAAGGCTTTCTGAATGCTAATTAGTGATTCATTATGGCCAAATACCATACAACTTTTTTTTATATCTACCCAAATCAAATCTGCAGTCAAGGGGTCCTCTCCGCAGATTACTGAGTCACGTTAAAATAAGACCTTGTGCAAGGAGGACGCCCACCTTATGACAGCTGAACTCATTTGCTGACTGAAGCCTGCAAATTACCTTTGCTTGTACCAATTATTTAACACAATTACTCTGCTCTGTTCTCATCAGCAGCAAAAAAAAAAGAAAAAAAATCTGGATAATATATGAGGAACTCTTATTCCTTGTTAAAGAAAAAAAAAGTCAACAGGGAGAATGACTACCTATTAAACATGTTCTCTGTCAGTGAAGGACAATTTTGCTTTGAAAGTAGGGCAGAAAGAAGAATCGGGTTAATAATGATGAACAGATTATTGAAGTAATCAAACTAGAAATCAATTAATTGTCAACTGTATGATATATAAACACAAAAGACATTTTGCAGTAATTAAGATAAAACTGAACAAAAAAAACCCCGATATATTTTGCATTTAAGATTAAAAAAATAATAATTTATCTATAAATATGTTCTACCCAGAACATCTCAAGTGCCACAGTTTTAGCTTCATCTAGTTTAAATTCTGTATTAATAAAAATCTATTATGCACTTTTCGATATCCAATTATTAGTCGGTTAATCAAAGCAAAAAAAAAAAAAAAAAAACTAGACAGCAGATTAGCCGTGCAATGTATCAATTGATTTTCACAGGTTTTAGCTGTTTTTACTATGAATGATAAAACCTACACTAAGGTAATGCTATGTTGTTGCATTTCTGGCAAAAAAACTAATACATTTTCATTTTCAAACTGAAATGTAATATTTATTTGTATCTTTTAATGTATTTCTAATCTTTATATTTAAGTGGTTACATGAATAAAAATAAATAAAAATCAGAATGTGCAAATTTCTTTATCCCATTAATTGATGAATTGTTAAAATAATCTATAGATTAATTGATAATCATTATCAATTATCAGCTTTTCCAATTATACAGCAACTCTGATCTCACTTGGGTTGAAACTCCTCAAATGAATGAACATTGATTTATCATTTCATATTTACATCATTAAATACAAAATAGGGAAGGTTCTTCAGTATGACAAGGACATGTCAACAAATTTGAACTATAGAGAAGTCAAAATCAGCAACTGAGAAAGTAATTGTAAAACTTCTTGTAGTCAGTGTCCTTCAAGTGTGCTGAACTTTGTTGATGCAGATCCAGCTTATGGGTCACATATCTCAGTCCCAAATCTTTGTGAGGTTTCTGATGCAAGAAATTGCTTCGTTTCAAGCCAAGGCCATTCCTCGGCGAACACGAGTGCTATATATCTGCAAAGCACAGAAGCAGGATGATGAAATGGTCGAAGGCCAGGAAACATGTAATCTGGAGACTCTTGTCTTCACCGGTTGTTCTGTTATTCAAAAAAAGCTCAAAATCCAATTGGCCTAGCAACCACTGACAGAGAGGAGAGACGGAAAACTGGGAGTTTATTGTGTTCGGATGGAAAGTTTCATGAACAAAAGTTCAAGCTGAAGTATTGATTCTAATGTAATCACAAAAATATTGATCTTTTGTTCCTATAGGCTAAAAGATGAGTCATATTATCAGAATACTATTGCATCGGCAGCAGCAGAGTGGAAAAAAAATCTACGTTCCCCTACAACGACAAACTTAATGACATTCTCATTGATCTGGATATATCTTGAATCAAGATATTAAACCACCTACAATATTTACTTTATGGCTGTTTCCAAAAGAAAATTAGGTTGTTGGGTTTCATTTGAATGAAACTGAAAGCTTTCAGAAACAGGAACGTTTTAATGTTGGTTAAATGGTTGATCCAGATTTGAGGGCGGGGGGGTAATAAACAGAGAATAGTTTTAAGTAAATAAACATAACATGAGCAGCTGAGAGATTTAGATTATTTTGAGACCTTCAGAATAAGAATAAAAACAAAACTGAACAAAATGTCAAAGCAGCAGTCAATACTTTCCTGCGACTTCACTGAAAAAAAACATTTGCAGAAAGAGGATAAAAGAATAACATTTAATTTCTGTGATTAGAGCACATCAGTTTGCCTTATAATGGAGTAAAACATTCTTCTCATCATGTGGGAATATTTTCAGATTCTCTAAATTAGCTTAGATCTGAGGGGTTTTTTTTAAATCTGCAAAAGTAAAATGATGATTTAATTGACAAGGAGGAACAATAAACAGGCATATTTCCTCCATAATCATGCTGCAAATCAGCTTTAGAAAACGCATCTACACAAAGCTGCTGAAATTGTTGCCTCATGTTTCTTAGCATGACATTTTTTGATTCTGCGCTTCAGTTTTAAAATAAAGTTTAAATCAGGACGTCAATCTGATTATGAAGAATGAATAAACTATATTCCTGCATGGAATGCCTTTTAATCTAAAAACAAATAAATGATAAATTAAAGTTTGTCCAAAGGCATTTACTGAATTATCCAGATTTCTACAGACCTTTTAACCTTTTTAATAATTTTACTAATATGATCATAAAAGAAAATATATGGTGGAGGGTTAAAGGAAAGTAAAGCTTGAATCAAACAGAAAATAAAAGGTTTAAAACCCACTTGTTTGCAGCTTATGTCCATAACCTTTTCTAAATTTTTTTAAGTTTGTGTGGTCAGGGAAAAATGGAAATATTCAGTTTTGGTGCCTTTTATGAAAAGAAAACATTTAAAAAATTAAAATTTTTAGCATCCGGTCTCCTACAGTAAAGGGAAAATTGAGAGGAAACTCAAAACATTTTATTTAAAATAATCCTTTGAATTTTTCTTCTTTTTGGGCTAAAAAGCTCTTCGAGGACAAATTGTATTATATCATGAATTAGTTTAATCTACAGCTGTTATTTTAAGACCAGTTATTTAAATCTAAATGGACCCAATCAAGTCCATTCTGGAGCAGATGGATGGAGGATGTCTGTGTCCTGTGAGAGTCCTGAAAGGATTTATCTTCTAGCAGAACCTCCACTGATCCTCATGACTCGAGGGAATGAATATATCAGAACCCAAAATGAGGCCAAGCTATGCAAATCCTGGCATCTCCTGACAATCTGCGTTAACAGCGGCGACGCAACTGCACCGCCTGCACAGATGAGTCAGTGTGAGCATTTTCTGCCACATGCCGTTTGAAACTAATATTGATTTGTTTGTCTTCCACATGTGTAAACAGAACCCAGTAAAGATTGCATGAATCAGAACGGGAAATAAAAGATAAATGAGGTGGTTACCATGAGGGAGTAGATATAGATCAGAGCCAGACTCAGGGTCATGACCAGGTTTGCAATGAGAGAAAGGGGAGCCAAGAACTTCAGATTGGGGGTGAAAACCAGGAGGATGAAGAAGGGCAGGAAGAAGAGCATGTAGATCCGGGAGTCGAAACTGGGAACCAGGACATCCGTCTGGTTGGTGTGGTTCACCTGGCAGCTGAAGGTGGTGGCATTGGCTGCTTCCACAACCTGGAAAACAAAACACAAAGTGATTCAAAAACAAGTCATAGAAATGCTATACAGAAACAAGTCAAAAAGCACAACCATGTTAAAGCAGGAACAAACAATTGTACTTTTCTCCCAAAGAAATAGAGGGGGGGAAAAAAGGCCCAAAGAAAAACTACAAAGCCTGAAGAACTATTGATGAATAACACTTTGGCAGTCCAATCCAAATATAATCTAAAAATATAAACTGCATTGTATGTCTTCCAAGACTGGTAGCTTGCTCATACAATTAACGAAAGGATGCTACCCTCTAGTGGTGAGACGATGCACAACAATAATTAAACACCATGCTTCTTCATCAGAAACGTTAGTGGTTATCATACTGAAGCATTTTTCACTAGTTCCTAAAGATGTTAAGGCAAACAAAATGATCAAGCATTGATTTCTAAAGGCTGTTAAAAAATTCCAGACAAAGATTTGATTTGTAGTGAAAAGTTCAGAAGTCAAAGGTGAACTCATTCCTGTGACGTCACGGCGGCCAGACCATATTTCATCACATGCTTTTGAGAAAAGGAGACCAAACATTGAGACCTTTGAACAAGTTTACTTGATTACATTCAGATTTTCCTCAACTGAGTGCTAATCCCTTAACAGCCAGGATGAAATCTAAACATATGAGCAGGAAAATGGGCACACATTACGATGTTCTATCATGTTTTCTACTGACGAGGACAATGTAAGGTTTTTTGTTAAAGCTAAAGGGATAAATATTACATACATGAGTGAGAGTCTGAGGATATTTGTAATTATTATTATTTTATAATGCGAAATCTGAAGATTCTTTGCAGCCTGAAGAGGAATTTAACTAGCATTTCCTGGGTTTTTCCACCTCGTCCTGCTGTTAAGGCAAAACCAATAACTGGTACTGATTCTTCTAACTTGTATAATCTTTGAATGATAAGATCTGCAAACAGATCCTTTCAAAACTGTGTAAACTTCAATTCTAAGTAAAGGTGTTTGTTTGATCTGAGAGAACCTAAAGTTGAGAATCTGAGTAAAGAGACCGAGCTCCGTATGTCTACATTTCTGCTTTTTCTAATCCAGTCGTCCAGCTGGTTTAATATCAGCAGACAAGGTGACCTGAACTGTCATGCCGACAGGACAAATATTATCCTCAAGTATTCTCAAGTGGGACCAGCAGGAGAGACAGTTCTGCATGTGAAAGTGTGTATGTGTGTGAGCGGTTGGGACCTGCTTGACGTTGTCACTGAGGAAAACGAAGTAGACGCAGCAGAAGCCAATCTGAGTGATGATGAGGAACAAGTTCACGGTCCGACTGAGAAACAAGACACAGAGGAGGAGCACACAGTCAGATGTCAGTTGTTAACAGCCGTTATTTACCAAGTTTAAAGCTTTCACAACTTTAGATAATCTTTGTTTTGCTTGGACTAACTAAATTTAGTTTCTTACATTTGTTTCACTCTTAAGCACAAGGAAAATAACTACAATATTTGTCTGCAAAAACACTTCAGAACTACAAATAAATTTCAAGATAAGATTTTACTGAAACCTATGGAAGACAATAAAAATAATAAACAGTGTAATAAGGTATTCTAATTTTTCTAGCAGCACGAACTACCATTTCTTTTCTGTTTTCAGTAAAAACATGTATTGATAAATTAAATAATAACAATTGAATTATTATCAAAATTATATTTATATCATGTTCAACATTTTGTTACAAATTTTATACTTAAATACCATGAAACCTTAGTAATTCTCCTGAGGTTTATGCCTAAAACAAACCATTTTTATTTTGCACCGACAAATAAACCCTAGATTTTCGAAAGGAATAGAAGAGTGTGTGCTTTCTTTTCAACATACATCTGCTTATTTCATTTTTTTTATTACAAATTTTTACTGATTTTAATCAATGTTTTCTGATGAGAAAGTACATTTATTTTTTTGTCTATTAGGAAAACCTTGCCTGGGATATTCCTGGGTTTGAGTAAAGATATCAACATTGTAACTGATTGTTTTTCCTCTCACCTTCCCCATCGTGAATGCCTCCTCAGCCATGATATGTTTTCCATCCCATACTGCATCACCTCTCCGTAGGTCATAGATGGCTGGTTCATCCTAGTGAAAACAACAAATAGAGCAAGTAAGTGAAAACTAAATGAAGAAATTGCTGAAGTATGGAACAATTGGCAGGAAATAAACACAAAAATACAGCACAGCTTTAAATGAAGGCTTGGAAGGAAACAATAAACCAAGAAATGGAAACCACTGGACCAATACTTTTTCCACCTATATAAAGGTAAATATTTAGTCATACAACGCAGTGTTTCGCAATGATCTGACCCTTCTGTTACTATGAGAGGAAGTGATGACAAGGCATTAAATCAGAAGAGTCAAGTTTCCATAAACATAGTTGTACAATTTCAGACTGATACGGAAGCATATTAGACTTCTTTGAAGACTGTCTTCATTCACGCTTCTGATCCAGTCAATCTCCTTTAACTCAAGTGGCAGAGCTACAGGAGATCTTTATACGAACTCAGCAAAGGTGGACACATGGCGCATGGGCTGCAGCTTGCAAACTAGTAAAGACACAACAACAGCTCACTAACATGCAGAACCCCCAGGGACTTGGGCTCAGTGGCAGGGAATGTTAAAAACACCAGCAGCACAGCTCCCAGCTTCTGATTAGTCGAGCTGATTACATTCACTGTAAACATGGTGTTTGGGGTTTGTCTGGCAGCGTTGACGAAAGTGTGAGAGCACACACGACGAGCTGCCAAAGGACTCCTGATTACTGAGCAGAAAATAGAGACCTAGTGGAAAGTAATCTGTCTACAGGAGCTGGCAAAACACACAATGAGCCAAACAAGTCTCCTGAACTGAACGACTGATACAGAGAGAAAATACATCTTTAGGTTTCAGTTACAGTGACCTGAAAGTTAAATTAACACAATCTAAACAGAGAAAAGAAGCTGCACTCTGAGTTGAGCATGGAACCCAGACATAATTTTAAAGTGTGCACATATTTAATTAAGTGGAATCACTTATGGGGTTAAATTAATTGCATTAAATTGCGCCTGATCTCCACCCTCTTGTGGAAAACCTGACACAAGCAAATGTTTAACGTGAGCCCACTTTAAATGCCAGTATCTGACTTTTAACTTGCAGCTGAAATATATTTTCTACTTACTTTGCACTGAGGTGGTGGGAACATTTCACTAGGAGCTTCATGCAGTGGACTGCGATGATTCCCATAACCAGGAGACTGATTGGTCCAAGCTGGAAACAAGAAGACCGAGCTAGATAAATAATAATAACCAGGGTTTCTGCAGGTTTCACCAATTCAAATTTAAGACATTTTAAGATCACTATTAAAGGAATTTAAAATCTATATCTCCACAGAAATGTTTAAGCATTATCTAGCTAACTGCCAATAGATTTACACTTATCCCTGATGGATGCAAAAAAGTGAACTACCTAGCTAGTTTTTTCTAGCAATCTAGAAAGGATATGTCAGCAGTGAGTTTGGAGTCACAGAATGAAATGATGATGCCGGAGTGCGACTCAAACTTTCGACTGACAGAAAAGTCCAGCGAGAAAAAAAACCCAAAAAAAAACACAGAATACACAAGATTAAATAGTTCTGTCAAAACAAAATGTAGGACCAATAATTGATTAATTAAAGGCCAACTTATCTTTTTAAATGAATTTAAGATATTTTAAGGCCTTAAAAAATAAATAAATGAATTTACTAACAAGTATTATTTAATAAATAACCAAATAACAAATTCAGCTAATAGTAATGTGTTTGGACATGGAGACAATCCACCAATGTATATTGCGAACATGCAAACTCCATGCAAAAAGAACCCAGGCTAGGATTCTTGTAGAGACTTGTTGGGCCTTGTTTGAAGCAAGTAGGCATGCTGCAAGTAGGCAAGTAGGTCTTTGCTGCAAGTTAAGTGATACTTAACTGTATCACAAACTGCAAACACAAACTCAAATGTGTATATCTAAACTCTAAACAAAACCTAACATTAAGCAAAGCCTATGTGGAAACCATTCAGTACTTCAAAAGCTCATGTTCTCAAGATGCAGACAGGAATTCAACAGTCTTGAAAGCGCTGAATCATCAGTCCTGTTCAGCCTCGTCTCATCTTCAACAAAGCCAGAACAGGAGAAGTTTAGGCGTGGTTTATTTTAACAAGGAAGCCACTTGCACACACTGTTGTGCTTAGAGGCATACAAATGAGATGATTGAAGGGTAGAGTCAATGTGCTCTGGGATCTTAACTCCAGTGTCCTAATTAAGAAACTTAGTTCAGTGTACTATGTGTCTGAACAAGTTTCAATTGTAAAAACCTTTTTTCAACCACTTATTGTAGGAAAAGAGAAAAAGAGCTGCAATATTTTTCCTAGGAGCCAGAGTTTTGCAGCAGGCATACAATTCTTTAAAATGATCCATTAGCACAGGACGGATTAGGAGTGTGTGCATTAGTTTCTTTCCTGAAGCATTGTGACAATGATGTTTCAGGACCCAATAAAAGTAGCTCATAGCGCTTTGAAACACAAAGCTCTGATATGAAAAATGTGCTGTTCTGACAACCAAAACAGATAAAGTTAATGGTATAAAATAATACAGTTAGCGTTTACCCATATTAAAACAACTTATGTGACCAAAGACCACCAGGAGAAAACAGCGTTATAACTTCTGACAGGTGAAGAGAATGAGACTCTTCTCTTGTTTTTCTGAAGAAGCAGGACATATGCCAAGAACATTTTATCCCCAGAGCTAACATGCTTGAAGCACAAAAAAAGTCTGTATAATACCAGTCTCTAATAATTTGTACAAAAATACATAAATGAATGCAATGACTGGTACTAAACTCCCAACAATAAAGACATGATGTTCTAATTTAATCTCTGTAAATTAAAACAAGATCCTGTGTTGAACTGAGAGATTATATTTTAAAGAGAAAACGAATCCCCTCTTTCACAACAGTATGGTGATTCCTTTTGATTATTAGAAATTTAATAGCTATAAAACAGATATTTTGGTATTTTTTTACAGTTTATTGAGCAAACTATGAATCAACTGATTGGCAACCAGTTCGACCTTATAAGGACAAAACTGAAAACTGTTGTCTTGATTATCTTGATATAAGAAGTGACTCATATTCTTCAGAACAACATGCAAATAGATTTCTCTTTACTTGTTGCACAAGCAAGATTTCTTATTACATCGACCACAATTTGTAACTTGCAGATGTTTTTTTTGTTTTGATAACAGGTCCCTCTGAAAGTCTGCAAAGTGCTGCTGTGTCTCTGTCTTTCATCCAGCTGAAAGGGACGTAAGCAGAATCAAATTTTTAAAGGCCAGGCCTCTGGTTTTATCTGGAATAATTGGACAATAGCATCGTTGTGCTTACCACCAGTCCAGCGTTTTTCACGGCCAGAGGCAGCCCCAGCAGACCAGTACCGATGTTCCCCTTCAGAAGGTGGATCAGAGTCTGACAGAAACTGAAAAATGGCAGAATAAAATAGTTTAGAAGCTGTTCTGACAGGTCTTAGTGAACTGTTTGAAGGTATTTCACTCACGAGGTTCCTGTTCTTCCCCCAATCCGCTCATAGTTTCTCTGCGGTCTGGATGGTCCAGGAGGAGACGGACACAAAGCGTCCAGTTCTGATGGGTTTTGATCAGAGAGGAGAGACCCTGCCATACAGTGATAACAAGTAAAGAGAAAGACATTTACAGAAGACAATTAGAACTTTTGTAAAGTCAACAGCATGTAACGCTATTGTATACATTCATGACAATAATGGGGAGTATGTAAACTTTTGCACAAATCTTTAACAGAATTATATTCCATGTTTCTTCACATCTTTACATACAACTGCGTCGAGTTCTTGCTTGAAGCATAAGCAGGTTTACCACAAACAACTTTCATATTAGAAAAGTCATGTGTCAAACCTATTTAGAGGAAATAACTCATTCTATTAAGGGTTCGCAAGAGATACCACACAAAGTTTAATTCAAAACTGAAGATACTTTTAGACACTGAACATGCAAAGGGAAGGAAATACAGATACATTCATTCTGCTGAAAGTTTATCACCTCATTTGTTTGATATCAAGTGTGCACTGAGGTCAGTGCTCATAAAAATAGATAAACTGAAACCTCATGACTTTATCAGAAACCAGTTTAATGCAGAGATTCCAGGCCTTTTGGAGGCAGCTGACTCTAATGAAAAAGGAACAGAAGACCTTTTTAGTTGGGATGAAAATGAACAATGATAAGAAGCTGCAGCTGCAGACTGATGCATGCCTGCTGGCATATTTTTAATAAAAACACCAACAGATCACCACAGCAGCAGCCAGACTCCAGAAAATCAGCACAGTTCATTAGCTACAATGGAACAAAGAATGCTTCATCGCAGTGTGAAGTAGGACTTTAAAATGAAAGGGAGGCCCATCTTTAAAACATCCAACCGGTCAGAAACCTTTTTTATTAAGACAGCACTGTTGATGCTCGTGACTCTGGCACAACAAAAACACTCAGTGGTTTGAAATGAGTAAATTAAGTTTACTGCCTTACAAAAGACGGTGGATAAAATTTGCGTCAAGATCAAAAGTTGCATATTTTCTCAAAAAGTTTTGAGTTAAATGTATATAGAATGAAAAGAAAGATTCTTTTTGGAGGCGCCCTACTAAAAACATTGTAGGCCTAACTTCGCTATCAAACTGTTGTCTCATGTAACTTACGCCAGAACAGCAAAGTAAGATATGTTTAACTGACAGATTTAATCAGCAACACTGACTAGATGCTGAGTCTTTGATCATTAATAAACATGCAAACCTAAAATGCTCCATTTGTTTCTGTCATTCTCTTTGGTAATAACAAGCTAAAATTCAGAATATTTGTATTCATCACATTGAAGCATTAAAAAGAGTATTTAATACAAAAATGTTATGTGATGAGGAAGAGTAATAACGAGACAGTTCGACAGACACTCACCAACACCCTTCACACATTGCTAAACCACAAAATGTTGTTGCTAAAGGAGATGTCTGTTCTCAAAGTGCTGTGTCACAGTATATTCAAGAAAGGTTAAGTGGAAGGAAAAGGTACGGTAAAATGGGTGAGCGACTTGGACTTAGAATTTTATCCCGATATTTTATTGTAGCACAATATGCTAAAAACTTTAGTTTATTAAATCAATTATCTTATTGAAGATATTATAATTCACTGAGATACACAAGTAATAACGAAACAAATGTTTGTGACCTCTTGCCAAAGAACATACAAGCCAGCCAGGCCATCAGACCGATCTCATAAATGAAACGAAAGCTGCTTTGATGATTCAATAGGATTACATGTAATCCGTCTGCAACCAAGTCTCATACTGCAACAACAAAAAGAATATTTTACCTTCCGAGTTTTATGATATTGATTACATATTTCCTACCGTCTGCTCTGCCATCCACGTCGCTGGATGCCATCATGGTGGGCCGGGTGGCGCTCGCGGGTGCACGGGTGTTGTTTCTCCCAGCCTCACGAATCCCAATGCAGCAAAGACAAACGGCTCAGCATCGACAGCTTCTAAATGTGAAAATATGCTGTTAGCTGCAGCAACTCCAGCAAAACACAAAGAAGTTCCAGCGCAAAGGCAGATTGTGTAAAATGTTGCATTATTAACTACAGCTTAAAAAATATAAAAGTCCTACTTTTCAAAAGTCTAAAAAACTCTAAGATTATGAACTTTGAATTAAAAGAACTTCTTAACAATTACAACAAAGTTTCTGACAATTTGTTGACTTCTTCCTGTCAGAACTGAACATGTAAACAGAAAGTGAGCGTGGACCTCACATGATTCTTTATGCCTGAACTGTTGTCATCAGAATGCTGAGCTCAGCACTAGAACTGGCCATGACTGTCCTTAATCTATATCTAAATATTTCTGTGGAGAAAAAAACTTGATGACTGAACGAAATGAGTCTGGAACAGAACAGACTCAATATATGTAAACAGAACATGATAAATAGAAAAAAAAAGAAGAAGTGCTTTAAAAATTCCACTGTTGTACTAAATTTTAATTATTTTTCATCTGTAGGTAAAATCAAAATAACCTGCACTTTTCCAGTCATCAAAGCACAATGAAAATACACATATTCTGTGTGTTTTAGTAGATTTTATGCAAACCTTTATTTATTTTTTTAATGGAAACAAAGCTTACACCTGTTCAAGTAGGTCTAATATTTCTCACATTTTGCTATTTTGGCCCAAATAGCAAAGAAAAATACTCTCCTACCAGGCACCAATTGCATTTAACTTTATCTGATCCACTGAAATAGAGCGCTAATCTCCAAGTGCCTCTCCCATCTTTAAGGCTCCTGCCATCACTATCAGGGAGCATCAAGGCCAAAGAAACCCAGATGTTATGCAAGACGAGCACAATGGATGGAAGTTCAAACAAATCCTGTTTGGCATCTGCTGTGTAATTAAACAGGACTTTGTTTGAAGATTTCGCTGTGCACCTGTCTGTTTTTAGCTGCAAAAAAGACAAAAGTCAAAAGGTTTAGGAAACAACCTGTTTGCATATTTAGTGAGCAAAACCGTTAAGAAATCAGGAACAAACAGGAATTTTTAAACCACAACTTCTTGTGTAACAAAACAGCATTTTCTAAGCTAAAGTCTAACGAGTTCTTAAGTGCAACTGCACTCCAACTTTTACATGCATTCTTTCCTCTACACACACATTAAATGAATGGCTGGTTAAAAGAGGTGAAGAACATACTGGTGAGGGAATTCAGCCATCATTCAGTTGTGCTGGAAATGAGATGCAGCTAAAGTTGCAGGATAGTAGCTGTCGAGTCTGTGTGTGCATGACAGAATGAATGAAAACAATCCTGCGCGAAATAAAAATAAAATGAATAATTCCAGGGAGACAGAAATGTAGCATTAAACCCTTTTTTATTTTTAAATAATTTTACTGATTTTAGGAGTCCATAACCCAGGTTACAGGGAAAATACCACCAGATCGTTAGTGGATGATAAAACAAATCTATTTCTTATCTTTTATTGATGTAAGCATTTCTCTTCACAAACAATATGCTGAAATTTTAAAAAGTAGCAGTTTCAAACCCCTACAATATTGCTTGTTCCTGATTGCAATAACAATTTTAGTTCTGGCTTAAAAGAGTTAAATTTGGGAAGTTACACGCAGTATCTCTGCTACTTAGCAGACTACTTATCCTAAATTTTTTGGTTAGAATGAAAATAGAAATGACTAAATGGTATAAACAATTATAAAATGGATGAAATCATCAATGTTAAAGTGTCTAAGAATATGAATTGCCGTTTTTTTATTTTATAATAATCATGTTGGACATTTAGATTTTCATGTTAACATTTTCCATGACAGTCTTATTTTCATTGAAGATCATCCTGCTTTCAGAAAGTCGCACCGCATCATGACAACGCACGTACCTTGCGCTAATTGCTGTGTGCAACAATTAAATCCGCGCTACAGGGGTGAAAACACTCATCTGTCAACAAATCCCAAAAAAGAGAAGCTACATCCCAATCTTAAAACACAAAACTCCCTGTCAGACTAGGGTGCGGCCAAACCACAGCAACTTTGTTCAACTGTAAGACTTCATTTCCAGTGAGAGTGGTTCTCCTTTCATGAGAGCAAGCAGACACACAAGCTGCAGACCGTATGCAGATTAACACGGTAATCCTATCAATATTGCCGGTAATCTTTGGCCAGGAAGACGTGCAGGTTGTCAAAGCGGACATGAAGCTGATAACCGGGAGAACCAGCAGGTGAATCGTGTTTCAGATAACGAACTGCCCCGGGCTAAAGGTACCGGGATGATACAAAGCCCGGAAGTCCCCAGGGTGGGATGTACACTCAAATATAAGATACACCGAATTACCAGCTTCTGATGTTGTCACTTAATAAAATATCAAGAAGGAAGAGTAAAGAGGGACTAAACTGGTGTACCGCAACCAGATCGCGTTAGCCAACATTAGCTGAAGGTTTCGATGCCATCTTTGTGTCGGTAAACAGCAGCTCGGGTCATCATAACACACCAGCGTACCTTAATGGTATATCTCGGCCTCCGTCCCTCTGCTTTCCTGCTTCAGCCTTTATCTGGATGACCTGACTGACCGCAGGTCCTCATATCACTGCTGAAAAAGAGCGCTGGCCGAGGTGCTGCACACAGATTCAGACTTAAAGTCGGTTCTGTTCAGCAAACAGCCGTGAGGTCACATGATACGAGTCCCGGGCGGACGCAACCATCTACGTTTGACGTTCTGTTGCTATAGAGTAGGAAACTCGAAGGACGGGTTCTTATCAGGCATGCATGTGAGGGAAGCGAAAATTATACCTATAATATTAGCAGATTTTGGCACAACTTGCTAAATAAATGTTGCAGAGTTTGCACTGCATTATTTTGTTTTGTGTTTGTTTGGTTAGTTGGTTTTTGCAAAGGTATGCGATTTCAATAAAAGAAAAAAAAGACAACAAGAAGTTCCTGGTTTTGACCGCTGAAGGGAGGGAGAACCGGGTACAGTGGGATGGATAATAATAATAATAATAATAATAATAATAATAATAATAATAATAATAATAATAATAATAATAATAGTTTTTTAATTTTATTGCCATGTCATTTAAAAAGCTTTTATTTTGGAAAAACAAAAGAGACACGGTATGTCTATGGTTAGGATGATATGGTCAGTGAGAATTTAAAAAACATTTTCGGGCGACCCATGAACCCAAAATGCCTAAAAGAGATGCTAGTTTAAGACCCTGATACAAGCTTTTACGATTTTGGTCAAAAATGTTGGACACACATTTATTTTTTTTACGTAGCTGAATGGTTTCCGTCAAGGTTTTCAAAATAAAATGTAAACGTGGCAAACCGGAAGTGTGTAGCTTTACGTGATGTTGTTTTATTTAATTTAGGATGTTTTGCTTGAACTTCATATGCCAACTCGTATTATACCAATAAACATTTATTTTTTTTTATAAGCAAACCAAAATCTTTCGCAGTACATTGTCTTTTATTACTTTACACCCTTTCAAAACCGGATATCCTGTTATGCTGCTATCCTTAGCTTTTAAGTGGTCAATCAGGCAGGTAGCCTCCGTTTGTTAGGTTTCTGTAGTATTTGGCGACATTTCCAAGTTGATAAAAATCAAAATCCCGGAGTTGGTCAGCTCGCTAAGTGCGACACATCACTGACAATATGACTGTGAGTTATTTTTAAGTAATTTCAGCTTGTTCCTGGATGTGTTTTAGCTTTAGTATGTGCCAAATGTTTTCAACAAACTAATACTTCCCGCAGCTGGACCGTTTATTAGTCACGGGTTATGTAACAACCATTAAAAAGCCAGTTCGTTTAGCATAAATTATAAGAATTTGCCGTCATCAGAGCTGTTATAACGACTAGGAATTTTTGGATTTTGCTGTAAATATTTTCATGTCTGGAGGGACCAGTATGCTTGAAAACATTTGCTTCAGGAATGTCCGATTTTGACGTCAGATCAGTTTTGCTTTTCTTTCTTCTAAAATAAAATGCACATATTAGCCACAATGGTAACTTTTTTTTTACTTTAACTTCCACACCAGACTTTCAATTAATCATTAACCTGTTTTTAAAGAACCACAAGTGTACTTCTCAACAAATTAGAACAATATCAAAGAGTCAATATAATCCAGAAATTCAGTTGTACTTCAAAAGAAATTTTCTTACCCTCTTGCTGAAAATTGCTACATTTCAATCATTTTAGAATATTTATCTCAGACCGTTGCAGAAGTTTTCTATTCATCATGAAATTCTAAATTTACAGCTAAATAAATTCTCTGTCTCACAGAAGCATGAGTTTGAGGTGGCGATGACCTGTGAAGGGTGCTCTGGAGCTGTTACTAGAATCCTCAACAAGCTTGGAGGTAAAACTGTGACGTCTCTTTCATCTTCTGTTCCACTTGCATTTCTGGTTTCACTGGAAGCACTGGCATAGCTGATTGTTTTTTGGTACTCATTCACTGCACAAAACACACATGTTTACAAATAATATCAATGTTAAAAATGCTGTGAAAGAGGTTTATGTTTTACAGGAGATGAAAAGGAAAAAAAAAACCTGATAATATAAAATGACACATAACTGGTTACAATCGAAGAAGAGACAAAAAAAGACAGAGAAATGACAAAGCAGTACATCTAAACAGACATCTCTAAAGTCCCTAACACTTTAGAGAGGAAAGTTTTAGGGATATGTTCTATGATTGACTTTATGTGAAAATATAATTACAATGGTTATGCAGGATGACAATGTTCCAAAACACAGTGAAATGCCCCCTTCAGAATGGATGAAAGCCATTGTAGTTTTCGAGTGGCCTAATCAAAGTCTGGACTTAAATCTTAATTAAACATTGTAGCATTAATCACAAGCCATTCATGCTTGAAAACTCTCCGATTAAGAATGATTCTGCAGACCAGATTGTGCCAAAGTTCCTTCATAGCAATATTAAAGATTCATTGAAAGTTGTTCCCCTTTTACTCTATGTAACTTATATTTTCTTATTTATTTTGTACAAATTAATTTTCACTTTGTCATTACACTGGATTTTTTTTTGTAAGAATTTTTTTGTCATAAAAGCCATATTTTACTGATCATGACAGATTTGTAAAAGCAATAAAATGGTAAAACATCCATTGTTGTGAATAATTCTTAGAATAGCAAAACTATTTTTTTGTGCCACATTTGGTAAATTCAGGCATTACCCTGGTAAAGTACATTTTAAAAGCATCATATGTCAATATGTTGAATTATATTTAGTTTTATGACAAACTTACAGTTCTGTGCAAACAAGTCCTAATTTGAGTTGTGAGAAGGTAATTCATATCAATGCAAATGGGTCCTTAACCGATCAAGAAATGCTTACAGGAGCTTGTATTGCTTCCACTCGTGACTTCTTTGCTCCGAGTGTTGACTCAGCCGCTCGGTCACCTGATGCTGAACAGCTTGTTTGTTTCACTTTTATTTGACTTGGTCATTAAATTGTTTTGAAGCCAAATTTCAGTTCCCGTTTTCAATTTTGTTCTAGTCCCACATTCTTAAGCTTCGATTTTTCAACAAGATAAAGAAAATCTATTCTTCAAATCCTCCTTCACAGTCAGGTCAAAGAGAGCTGAAAAATCTTTCATTCATATTAGAAAGAGAAGCAGATATAAAGAGGAATATCTGTTTGTTTCCAGTCAGTTGATTGAACAAGGTTTCTACTTCTGTTTTCGCCTCTCAGATGTGAAGTTTGAGATCGACCTGCCCAAGAAGCTGGTTTGGATCGAGTCAGACAAGGATGTGGATGTTCTCATGGAGACGCTGAAGAAATGTGGAAAGGAAGTCAAGTACAATGGCACTAAATGAAGGAGTCTGCTTCATATGTTTAACAGGTGACACTATGCTGACAATAGAGTTAAAGTCCATGTTAATGATTGCTGTATAGACCGTTAGCTTTTTCTTGATGGCTTTGTGGATTAAAACATAGTCTGCAAAAAATCTGCATACATTTAATGTTTCTGAAACTGTTTAAACTGTAATATTACTTACAAGTGAAATGTTACATTATGTTTTTGTTTTAGAAAACCCTGCTGCTATAAAATCAAGACTTAAGCTACACTTGAAATCTATTACCAGGAGACCCCAAAAGTGCCGCGCCTCATCAACCCACGTGTTTTGAAAAGACCTGGGAGGCAAACTCCCTCAGATTGAGCCCCCCTCGTTTCAAGATGACAATTTACAAATAGCTCTTAGTGGAGGATGTCGTCATGCATTTAGGTTTGGAAAAAAGAAAAAAAAAACTTCTAATTTCTATCCTGGATTGATAGATTATTTTTTTGTGGTGGTATAAAATTTAGTATTTGAAATCCGGTTCTTTGTCCAATTTGCTATAATTTCTGCTTTGCAGTTTAGAGGACTTTCAGTTGAAGCTTAAAGAATGTCTGTTGCTGTTTGTGGTGAACATCCTCTTAAACTTGCAAAATGATCCGGATAGTCTTCCTTCAGAGCAGTTCAAGAACATTCCCTGTATCCGTTTCAAATAAAATGAACTGTTGGTCCTTTTGCTTTTACATTGACTCAGTATTATTGACAGCAAATGTTATCCGACACCGCTTCGTGGATAATATCTATAGTTGTAATTGGAGAGGAACGATAACCATGTTTTTGCCATTTAAGGACTTCCACTTTTTTACACTACAAATCATCAGGCATCGTATAAATTATAGTTATGTAGATTCGCTAACAGGCATCTTTGTATCTGTGTTTATGTTACCACTTCTGAAGTGGGAGACAAATAAATTTGATTTTCAGAATGTCTTATTCATGCACAATGGAAATAAAATCAATTATGTGTCAAGCCTCTGCCCATATTTTATTAGATCTATGCTAACCACTACTCTTGGAGTGAACGCAGGTGTCTTAGGCTTTTTCAGGACAGACATTTTACCATTCACATCCAGTTTGTCTTGTTTTAATTTGATCATTTTTTTAAATTATGTTTGCACTGACCATACTTAGGTGTCATGTTTCTTGTTAAAATGTTGTGAAATGAGCAACAAGACCACAAGGCTACAAACTAGATCCACTTTTTGTGGATTGTGTTAGTCACTGTTGGTCGCAATGTGAATACAAAAAAGAGGAAATAGGTAAATGCAGTTATTAGAGATAAAGGTTCAATGCGACTAAACTCAGAAGCCAGTGAATTAGTTATTCATCTCAATTTGCATTTATTGGCTGCTGATGATGGTCATATTTCTACATGAGCTGAACTTCAACTTCTACTAACCAGCTCAACCTTTAGGAGACGTCTAATGTGTCAGCTTGAATCCACATTTCAACCACCAGGAGGCGCTGCGGGACAAATATGCGTGTGAGAAATGTTTTAATGAAAGAATGCCTCACACTTAAGATGTTTTGAGTTTTTCTGAAGTGGACTGAAATTGGTTGCAGAGGGATTTTTTTAAACCAGTTTTCCATATAAATCAATCCAGCAGTTTGCCAAATTCATAAAACATGTCTGAGGTAAAATCCTGTAAAACATGTTATCAACTTGATTCTTCCAAGATAAGCTGCATTATTTAACACCTCTAAGCTAATGTCTGAATATATCACATTAATACGGAAGTTTATATGTGGGAGATACAGTGTCCTAAATTTAAAAAATAAACCAGACAATAGTTTAGCTCCCACTACAAAGCTTGAAATATTTTATCACATAGAAAAATTTGAACAGCACCTTTTTCAGTGGGAGCCACTCATCATTAAATGATGTATAGAAGATCTAACCATGATGTCGAATGGGGCAATCAAATTCAGATCCAGGCCTTATAAAACAACAAAAAGACAACATCGGCATTAATAAAGAATTCAACAGAAGTCCAAATAAAGTGCAGCACTGCCTGGTTCTGCTATTTAAATATATGACCAAGCTGTCTGCACAGACAGCCAAGGAAAAGAACAGATTAGAGGGTGTAACCTAAAAAAAGCAATAAAATTTATTTTTTGTGTGTTTTATTTCTTCATGTGTGCACATGGTAGAGGTGAAATTCCTTCTTTTTCACTATTTTAACTGGTTTCTTTCATTGAAAGCCTTACTATTGCTTATCAGGACCTCGTTCAGAGGTTTCTATGAGGTTCATTTAAGTTTATGGTTGTGATGTGGAAAAGTGTGAAAAATTCAAGGATGGAAGTGGGGGACTTTAGTTTGGTTGGCTTTTGAAAGGCACTGGATATTTAGTGTGCAAGACATTTAAACTGCTCGAGTCAATACCAAGCACATCTTGTAAGTATTTCACGCAATTAATGTTGAAATTAATAAATAAAGTCCATGCTGCACTTCTGTTCTTATGGCATCTTGAGGTCCCAGGCCTGCCACAGTTCAGTTTGCCACTTTATTCTGAGATGTCTCATCACTGGAGCAAAACATAAAGATAACCCTTTAAATGCTTTTTGAACCATTATTTTTAGGTGATTTTAAATACTGAATTGATCCTGCATGCTGTTTCACTTCCAGGTAATTTTATTTTGTTGCTGAAGAAGAGCCTGATGACGTACGACAGCCATTGTGAAATTGTATAAAAAATGAATGATAATTTGAACAGGCCATCTACTGTTTAAAGTAAATGCAAAATGTTTTACTGAGGTCTGACGTCTAAACAGATAATCCTGTATAATTGATGCTTGCTCAGCCTTTGTGGAAATATGTTGAACATGTTGTAGAGGCTGCATTGGATGAAGAGTCCCTGGCTGGCCTCAATCTGAACCACCTACTGAGGAGAACAGAGCTTCATTGTGTACAACACAAACTCCACAGATAAGGTTGTCAGCTCGTCACTGGGTTCCTCATCTTACTCTATTACGCACACAAATGTGGTGTCATTGTAATGCCTGTGCTGGCTTCTGATTTCACAGGGAGAAGCTGTACCTTCAGCTTAAATGTATGAATTTTCTTGACATCACTGAAAGGTAAATTCCTCTCAATCTTGAGCAAGAGGTTCAAAAACAGAACAGAGAAAAGCTTCAATTCACGTCACACAGCTTTTAATTTTTCAAACAGGAATAAAGAGTTTAAAAACTGATATTTTGAGTACAAAAAATGGCATGGACTTTGTTGAATTTTGAAACTTCAGCAGAGGAAAAATCGCTAAAGAATCGCCAAAGTTTGTCAGTGACGTATTTAATGCGTCAGTTTGTCACTTTGAAGTGCTGAGCCAAACAAGAAGGCATTTAGTGTTAATTCAATATTTGGAAACGTGGCCAACACACACTGAATGACTTTGCTCACTTCATCTGCTCTGATTGCTAAAACCATAGGCAGACTACAATTTAAAGACCGTGCAAAAAATAGAGAAAAATCTCTCCTTTTTTCAGTGATTTTACTATGAATTTAACACTTTCAAATGACACACAACCTTTTGATAAAAGGTTGTGAGAGTCTGCTAGACACAGCTGCATATAAAAAAAAAAAAAAAAAAAAAACATACTACTACTTCTTGCTGTCTTCATCTTTTTTGTCAGTAGTAACATCCGGCTGTTGGTCACAGGACTCGTGTGAGGCAAAATAAATGTTTCCATTGAGAAATACATATATTTTGACATTGCTGGAAAACCCCCTTATCCTAGTGCAAAAACTTTTTATTGAAAAATGGGAGTTTGCTGTGTTTCCACTAAGCAAATTTATTTTCATAATTTCAGTTTGTGTAAGTTTATGGTTACTGGAAATGCAGGTCTACACCATGGTAGCTTTGCTCATAGGTTGTGTTATGATTAAGGGGTAGTTACACTTTTGCAATGCACTGTACCTGTTCTAATGCTGGTATTTTTGTATTTAGTACATAATCCTCAGTTGACCAGTGGTATAAGATTACATCATAATATATGACTGCATATGTATCTGAAAGGTTGAGAAAAGGTGGCTCAGGGTGCAGTTACAGCTGTCACATCCTGCCCTGCGTGCCAAAACCAACTCACTCTTCACAAGAAAGTTACAGCCAGTCAGCAAAACGTGCAGCTTGATGGACAAGAGCAAACACTCAGTCGACTCTGCGGCTTTACGTCTTGAAGGGAGTCTCAGCTGTAGATTTCCTCACTGTTTGGTGGAACTTAATCGTCATGTGCTTGATGAAAGAAATTCTTTATGGTTAATATTTACTTCTTATCCGTGGAACTACCACCTTTTCTCCTTCTCTTTAGTTCATAAGGTGAGAGTTTTGAAAATACTTTGTCATTACATGAAGTTATTTTGTTTTTGTAAACTTATTGTTTATGTTTTCACCATAAACTGTTATAAATGGAGTATTGTCAGACTTTAATGTGCATTGTGTCCAGCCTATTGTGTCTTCTTCATTCTTCTGCCATTTAGCAAAAATAAATAATTTTGGTACTCAGACCTGACGTAAATAAGGAAAAGTCATTGTTGTCTGACACACCTGAATCAAAGAATTAGGTTTTCAAAAGGTTTTCTGTAGAATGTGACTGAATGCTGAAGGAATTGCAGGTAAAGTTTTGTTGATGAGAATCTGCACAATGCTGAGGGAATCCTAAAAACATCACAATACCACAGGGCATTTTTTCTTATCTCTTTCCTTCCTTTTTTACTGCTTCATGCAGCTGTCTTGTTTTGACCTGTTTCAGATGCAGAGATTCCTTTGATTTGCATTCCAAAGATAAAAACCTTTTCTTAATCTGGAATCATTCATGAGAGCAGAGAAGAGGACACTGATACTAACAGCTACATCATCAGCAGCAAAATGTTTAATGAACACATTTAAAGTTCCTCTATTTTGAGAGTTTAAGGGGTTTTCTTGGTTTTGCAGCTGTGCTTTGTTTTATTTATTCTGTTATACTTCAGATTTTGTTTTGGGGTCTGCCTATACAATCATTGGCTTCCAGTTGTAATTTTTTTTAATTACCTAACAGATCTTTTTTCTACTTGCTTGTTTCTGACCTAATTCATGTCCTTCAGCCTGCTTTTGGGTTCTTCATGAAATGTTTAGGCAATGGACCACCCACAATGTTTCAAAAACGAACATGATTTTCTACTCTTCAAAGGATGTTTATCTTTTGGCAAATCACTGTAAACAAGGTGAACGTGGAAAGTTCAGTTACAGTTTGATGAATTCGCCAGAAAAGAGACAAAAATCTTGTTTTATATTCTGTTTTATGTAAACGTTTTTTGACTGTAGCTTAGATGTTGTGTTGGACCTGGACCAATAGAGAAGTGGGATTTTTTTCTGCAATTTTTATACATTTTCATCAACTATCAAGATCTGAGATAATTGTCATTACATGAAGTTATTTTGTTTTTGATTTTCAGGATTTGTAAGGGACACTTACAGTCAGATTTAAAGAAATATGCTTAAAGAATCTAAATTGCAAGGAACTGGTGGGATCCCAGGTTGTTGAGCTGTTTTGGTGTCTTGAGTTCATTCTTTGATTTTTGAGTTTATTGTTCCATATTCTGTTATTAAATCTTCATATTCACTGGCCGGCTCCGTGTCCCTCATTTGGGTCCTACAACAACCATCTACCGATCATGAACAACAAAAAAATCCTTAGAATTTGTTCATCTCACTTGGCTTACAGTACGTCACCAGAGAAGAAACATCATGTTGTTGTTTTTTTTAAAAGAAGAAGCAACATCACTGAATTAAAAGCAGTGGTTTCAGATAACCTGTGACAGAGTTATGTGTCGATGACAACATTTAAGAACTGCTTGAAAACATCATGAAAGCAAGCTTTGCGTAACAAATAATGTCGATATCTAAGCTGCTGTGTGTTATGTCTGAGGTGAAATTTTGGTAGTTCACAACCTGGTAATAACCAAATCATTACATGAATACAAAAATAAAAGAGACT